CACAATCTCAAACAGGACCAGACAGGGGTGCACCTTGTCCCCACTACTCTTTATCCTAGTCATGGAAGCGCTTTTACACAAAACTAAATTGAACCTCAACCTTATGGGACTTAGAGTGAGGTCTACAGAGCACAGGCTTGCGGTGTTTGAGAATTACCGTATGTCCCATTTTGTTTATAAGTAATCCTCAGGTATCTCTTCGGAATCTGCTCCAAGAGCTAGAGTGGTTCCAGAGCCCTTCCAACTTTAAGATAAATCTCAGTAAATCTGTGATTATTATTATTATTATTATTATACAGTATTTATAAAAAGCGCCCTTAATGTGCCTCGGGTGGACAGGCAGGCCATGGAGGCCTCCTTTCTCTTCAAGAGCTGGTATAGCCTCATTAAATACTTCGGTATCAACCCGACTGCTGATGCGCGGGGACAATTTCAGGTGAATTTTCTGCCTTTTTGGCCATGAAGGCAGACCTGATGAACTGGGGTAAAACCCAGTTTACCTGGCTGGGTAAAATAAATATTTTAGAAATGACAGTACTCCCCAAATTGTTGTCCTTTTTCAAAATAAATCCCATTAGAATACCAAAGACATATTTTCAATTTACCTCCTTTGTGTGGAATGGTAAATCTCTGTGGTTATCACATGACCTTATGCGCTATGCAAAAGCCCGAGGTGGGCTGGGTCTTCTCGACCTTTCACTATACTATCAGGCAACTGCCTTGATAAGCATTGGTAATTGGAACCTTCATACCTTGGCTAAATTATGGGTTCCCCTAGAGAAAGCTATGGTTGGGCGCAATCTTGAGCACACACCTTGGCTGCCTGGCATGCACAGGAGATTCTCAGACTTCCTTCCCCTGCTATGTCGGGCTACATTGGCAATTTTGTATGGGTTAAATAAAAAGCATGCCATGGCCAAACCCCACTCGCTGTTGTCTCCATTAGGTGGGTTTCCTTGGTTTCCTCTGGGTGAACATTTAACGTTCCGGGGTGAGGCAAAGGAGATACGCTGCTTTCAATTTAAGCAAGGTTCACGAGTGAAGACCTTGTCCGCTATCCAACAGGAATGGGGTACCACTGCATTAGATGGATGGAAATATGCTTAGCTCCAGTTCTTCTTCCAGAATCTCTCATGCCCTGTCTGCTCTCATGAAAATCTTTCACCCTTTGAGGCCTTATGCCTAGAAGGGGATCAGAACACCCAATTGATATCCAAATTTACAAAATTATTATTAGACCTGGCCACTCATATGGTGCCTTATTATATTAGGACTGGGAGAAGAAGCTGGGCTGGGATTTACCCAGGAGTATTATAGATAAAATTACGCTATTAGCCTACACCTTCTCAGTTAGTACTAAAAGTCCAGAGTCCAGCTTTAAATGTTTGCCATGCTGGTATAGGGTTCCAGCTTAATTGTCCCGTATATACTCTAGTGTGAAGGCTTCATGTTGGAGGGGTTGTGGAAAAACAGGCATGTTCCTGCATATTTGGTGGGAATGCCCCCTGATTAGATCATTGTGGGCGGATAATATGGCATCTGACTGCTAAGGCCACCCAATGTCAGCTTGCAGATTGACCCCTTACGGTACTTTTTCATGATACGCCTTCCTCCATCAGTGCTTATAAACGTTGGTAATACCCCATCGTCTGAATGCAGGCAAAAGTCTTATACCACTGCATTGGAATTTAGCGGTTGTTCCCACTAAAATGATTATTGAGAGTGCAAGAGATACAGGATGCAAAAGAAAGGCAACATCGCTGCACTGATATCAACCAATGCTATCATGCCACATGGGCTTTGTGGATTGATTTTAGCACATCTGATGTATACAAAAATGCTTTACAATGAACTATTTTCCTGTGAAATGTTTTTATATGCTTTGCTCACTAAACTTTCTCAAGTTCTCTGGAGATTTGGGTTGGGCAATAGGACATAGCTGTTGGTAGCCTTGATTGATTTGTAAGCTTATGTTTTTTACCATGTTTTCTTTTTTCCTTTTCCCTCCTTTCTAGTTGAGATAACATGCCTCCTGTATTCTGTTGGATTAATGGGGTGATGTGGGGCTGGACCCCAGTGGGGTACTTGGGAGGGGTGACGGCTAGTTGCTTTTATATATTAGTGTTGAATAACTGTTGCCTACCCCTGCTGAGAAGGTCACAATGCCCTTACTTTGTATCCATATTTCTGGAAGCACAGTGTTACAATGTATCCTTGTATTTTCATATTACGTGCCTTTTTTTATCTTCTTGGCTATATGCAAAATGAAAATAAAGATTTAAAAAAAAAAAAAACTAAATACCTACCTCTCCCACTGCCTGCATGGTGAACAAGGCTCCATTGAAGAGAGAAAAAGAGAAGTCATGTATGCTGTGCATACTCGCACAGTATGGCAAATGCTCCTGAGGACCTGTGGCAGTTAATTTCCATTTTAAATGCAAACCTCAGAGAATATAATTAATGTAGTTACAGACCATTTCCAATGATTCTCCCCTATACGGACACCTTGGTAGCTTTTTTTTTTTGGTTTTCTGCTCCTTTAACAACAGAGTTTTGTACTAAAAAATATCAGCAAAATAAATCCTCTGATGATTATCTCATGCGTTTTCTACTTTGAATTATTCAAAGCTGTTAACTTTTCTAGCTGAATTATTGATAAGCTTGTTCCCTCTTTAAAAGATGTGACATCCACATTGGCAAATTCTCAGTTCTCTAGAAACTTTGAATCATAAGCTCTTCAAGTCAAACTTTGGACAGATATAAAAAAAAACACCATTTAATCCAGTCTTGTATTCATTAAAAAATCATTAAAAAATATTTTGTTTAGAAGTTCATATACTTGTATGTGCAAAAGTACCTGGGGGAGGGGGAATCATCACAGTCCTTAAAGTGTGAACAGGATGGCAGAGTGATTGGCTCATCAGTGTGCTGCTGCTCCTTTGATGTCCAATCACAACTTGCCCTGCTTAAAGAATAGCTAAACTAAAAAACAAAAATATATTGCAGCTTTCCATTCCTTAGATGTGGTGGCTACATTCGTTTTCTTCTTATGGCTGAAAACATTCAGTGAAATTCAGTGTCTTTGGCACCTTCTGCAAACTAAATGGGAAGTATAAAACAATTTTATTTTCCTTCTGTAAACAGCAAAACTACTCAACCCTCATGTTACATAGTTAGTCTGGTTGAAAAAAGACACATGCCCATCTAGTTCAACCAATAAAATAATAAATGCAAAAACAGAATAAACAAAGACAAAACCTCTATATACAGAATCCTATACCCACAGTTGACCCAGAAGAAGCAAGAAACCCCTATGTAAAGCATGGCTTAATTTGCTCCAGCATGGGAAAATACATTCCATAAAACATGGCCCACATTGCTCCAGCAGGGGAAAAATAAATTCCATAAAGCATGGCCCACATTGCTCCAGCAAGGGAAAAATTAATTCCATAAAGCATGGCCCACATTGCTACAGAAGGGGAAAATAAATTCCATAAAGCATGGCCCACATTGCTACAGAAGGGGAAAATAAATTCCATAAAGCATGGCCCACATTGCTCCAGCAAGGGAAAAATTAATTCCATAAAGCATGGCCCACATTGCTACAGAAGGGGAAAATAAATTCCATAAAGCATGGCCCACATTGCTCCAGCAAGGGAAAAATTAATTCCTTAAGGCATGGCCCACATTGCTCCAGCATGGGAAAAATAAATTCCAAAAAGCATGGCCCACATTGCTACAGAAGGGGAAAATAATTTCCACAAAGCATGGCCCAATTTGCTCCAGCAGGGAAAAAAAATCGATTCCATAAAGAAAATTCCTTCCTGATCCCCCAGAGGGCAATCAGATATTCCATGGAACAAATGATCCCTGGAGATGGTGATGAACAAGAACAGACATGTTTGAAGTCCAGCCTGGGTGGCAAACATGACTGTCTCCATAGATTCAGCGGAGTGAAGGAGGGTAGCCACTTTCAGACAGGAACTGTGTTATTTTCAGGATTACCAGGTAAGAATAAAGAAAAACAAAGCCTGAAAAAAAAATAAAACGAATGCAACTGAGAACCAGAGTCAGTTGTGTCCATCCACTCTAACAGTCACCGTTCTCCGCATACTGAGAACTGAGTGATCAGCAGTTATGTAGTCACTCAGTTTTGGGCTTAGATCCAATGTGGGACAGCTGCAGCATCACATTGATGCTGCAGCATAGAAGTGAGTATTTTTATTTCTTTTTTGTAAACATCCCAAACTTCTCCTTTAAGTGTCATAATACACTTCTATTCTGTGTTAGAAGAGCTGGCTCTTAATAGTAACACCAACCAAACAACAAATGTTGTGAAATGAATTAAGCCTGTCAATTCCGTCACCACTGTGCTCTTTGCCCTTTCATAGAGCCTTGTCTAGGATCATTTGCTCTAGTGAAGCACCGTATTCATCCATTCCCCAGTGCTCTCTAACTGAAAACATCTGAGACAGAGGAGAAAGGAACCCATCATGAAGCAATAGCCATACGTAATAACTGCTCAAGGAGAGGTGCCGCTCAATGTAAACTTGTGTATAATTATAGTCATTGGGAACCTGGTTTAAAATAGTTGCATTATTAAAACTCCCCAAATAGCACGTGATGCAAATATAGCATATCATGTGGCATCAGCTGTGTTGTCATGTAAGACAAAGTAGTGGGTGTCTGAACAGGTGTTAGCTAAGGTTAAATACTATGTACAAAGTGCTTGTTATTAGTAGATATGTATTTGGTACTGATCAGGGGCAGACTGACAACTCATGGGGCCCCCGGGCAATAGGGGATCATGGGGCCCCTGTGTCCTTGCCCACACTCAAAAAAGCCTATGAAAAATGTAACAGGGGCAACTCATGGGGCCCCCTACTGACCCTGGGCCCTCGGGCAGTGCCCGCGTTTCCAAATGGTCATTCCGCCCCTGGTACTGATTCTTCTCCTTACTGATCAAATAAAAAAAAATCTATTACTGGTGAGACGCGTACCTTCTTCTTGTCTTCGTCTTCCCTTTTCTTTATGTTATAGATGACCTGGAAGAGATCCTTGAGATCCACCACTAGAGGTTCAGCCTAAAGGAATGCATAGATAAGTTCTAATTAGAATATAAAATGTCAAATGCTATGCCTGGGATGGGAAGGATACATACAGTATATACACTCAATGGCCACTTTATTAGGTACACTTTGCTAGCGCCAAGAATCTATCCCCACCAGCCTGAACCATTGATACAAGGTGGGATGGATCCATGCTTTCATGTTGTGTATGCCAAATTGTGACCCTACCATCTGAATGTCGCGGCAACCAGTCTGCCCATTCTCTTCTGACATCAACAAGGCATTCTCATTCACACAACTGCCGCTCAGTGGATATTTTCTGTTTTTCGGACCATTCTCTGTAAACCCTAAAGATGGTTCTGCGTGAAAAGTCCCAGTAGGTCAGTAGTTTCTGATGCTCGGTTTGAACTTCAGCAAGTCGTCTTCACCATGTCTACATGCCTAAATACACGAGTTGCTGCCATGTGATTGGTTGATTAGCAAATTGTGTTACCAAGCAATTGATGTAAAAAAGGTGTACCTAATATAGTGGCAGGTGAGTGTATTTTCTAAGGGCTGGGCTTCTAAAACACAGCACTAGGTCTGGATATGCCTGGCATAAACAGGTTAATGTTGCACTCATGTGTAATGACCTATAGAAACCAAACCAGCTTTCAGGAACTCAGAGTAGGAAGGCTGTAATGAAAGCTGATTCGCGGTTGGTCCCAGTAAATCAGCAGTTTTTGAAATACTCAGACCAGCCGTCTGGTACCAACAAACATGTCACATTCAAACACAAACAAAAAACATGCAGCGCTAGAGTATAAAGATCTGTCTCACGATAAAGTGTGACCACCTAAATAGGTATAAACGCAGCTAGCATAAAGGTAATGGTCTAAGCAACCAATACTACAACATTCTCATGGTTAAAAAGGTGTAAATGGTGACATAGGTGTCAAAGTCAATATATCATTGGAGTGACATAAAGAAATCTGTGACATCTGTGGTAGGAAGTGTGGCTGTAGAATGCACTAACCAGACAGCGCAGATAGTAGCGCATTGGAGTAAAATGACCTACTCCTGGTCAATGGATCAGGAAACCTGCCGGAGTGGTGGTCGTCTCTGCTGTGGTCACCAGAATCATCTGCGTCCTCTCCAATTATGGCATTACCAGGTGTCCAGTGGGATAAACGCTCATCCGGTATGTAGTGGAATCCTTATGTGTCAGCGACCTCCAGGGGTGCGGTGTGCGCTCAAGGAACAGGAATCACCTTCAGGGCTCAGAAATAAACCCAAAAGAGAGGCTTCCGATAGTGTAATAACTTTTATTAAGGAGTAATAGACAAATGAAGCACTTACATGGTGCAATACACAATTCCAAAGATGGCCGCCCGTATCAAGGTGTGGAACCATGTGGGTAGTAGTGGTAGGTAAAGTAGCATCTCCCTAACGCGTTTCGTGGCAAGTGCACGTTGTCAAAGGGCATTCTACAGCCACACTTCCTACCACAGATGTCACAGATTTCTTTATGTCACTCCAATGATATATTGACTTTGACACCTATGTCACCATTTACACCTTTTTAACCATGAGAATGTTGTAGTATTGGTTGCTTAGACCATTACCTTTATGCTAGCTGCGTTTATACCTATTTAGGTGGTCACACTTTATCGTGAGACAGATCTTTATACTCTAGCGCTGCATGTTTTTTGTTTGTGACTGTTATCCCACGAGGCATTTTGGAGGCTTGCCTTTCATGCTTGTATATTTTGTTCTAAAACTATCCAGCGCTCGTTACACCCTTTTTATATTTATTTAAATGTCACATTCAAAGTCACTTAAATCCCCCTTTCTTCCCCATTCTGATGCTTGATTTGAACTTCAGCAAGTCATCTACATGCCTAAATGCATTGAGTTGCTACTATGTGATTGGCTGATAAGCAATTTGTGTTACCAAGCAATTGAACAGGTGCACCTAATATAGTGGCCAGTGAGTGTATATTTGGCCTTCAGAACTTTTAGAAGATTATGTAGTTTAGATGTAATTTTTTTTTGTTTTCCTTCACTTTGCTTGGTAGTTTTTGTAAACAAAAAAAATGACACACACCAAAAATACAAAATCAACCAAGCAGACTTTTAAGGCACTAACTACAAATATACAGGGGTAGATTTACTAAAACTGAATCTGGTGCAGCTGTGCATGGTAGCCAATCAGTGTCTAATGTCAGCTTGTTCAATTAAACTTTGGCAATAAAACCTGGAAGCGGATTGGTTCTGATGCAGAATTGAGTCTGATTTTGTAGTCTGCAGCCTTAGTAAATAAACCCCAGAGTGTTCATTGGAGGAGCCCACTATACCAGCAACGAAAGACCCTGCAGTATGTATTGGACCAGATAAGAGACCAGATTGTTAGGAGGTGGATACTTCATACACGCAGCATAGCAAGTTCACCATTACCATAATTATGGGCATTATACCGCGGTGGTTTTTCTACCAGATACACATGGTGGAATAATCTCTATGTATAAACTGTACAAAAGTTTCTATAGACCTTGATGGGTATTTTTCAACTGAAAACTGGGTGGTTTCGGTATGTGCCACATGGATACTGTACATTTGGTGGCTTTTATTTTCCAGCATCTTTCTTGCCTATTATACATCCCATCCGATCTGCTGAAGAAATGGATTTGGTTCTGAGAAACACATCGTGATTGAAGGGTTGACACTCCCCGCTGTACCCTTTTGGCTGTTCCACTTATTACCAACTTTTGTGGATCGATTCCTGTATGTTGCCTCTATGTGTATATTTTGGGAGTCTGGCTGGGAGTACAATTTAACCCCTCACTTGGATGAGGCTGATTGGTTTATGCTATGTAACACCTATGCTTAGGATTGGTTTTATATTACTACATTTGTTTAAAGAATAAATATATAAACACAAAATAATGTTTTTACATTTTGTAGTTGGTGCCTTTAAAAGTCCTCTTGGTTGATTTTGTAATTTGGGTGTGTGTAAATTCCTTAAATAGGATGTGGCACCTGGGTAATCTTAATCCCAACAAATAGTTTATATTTGTAAAAAAAATTAAAAAAAAGTTTTCTTTTTGTTTGAAAATAACTTTTTCATGTGTTTTACTAGAAACACTATTGTGGCATCAAAAGAATGACAAACTGCCGAATGAAATTTGGACTTTACATCTACAGTAACATTTGCTATTTAAACAAAAAAATCACTAGTCAAACTGGGGGAAAGTGTATCGTATTTCTATTTTTTGTAAGAATTCTTTTTGCCATCAAAATAGCTAAAAAATATAATAAACATTAAAAGACAATAAAACCAAAATAAAACCATTTGTACCCCCCCTCCCAAAAAAAAAAACAACGGGCAGATTTACTAAAACTGGTGCACACAGAATCTGGTGCAGCTCTGAATGGCAGCCAATCAGCTTCTAACTTTGACTTGTTCAGTTAAGCTTTGGCAATAAAACCGGGAAGCCGATTGGTTTCTCTGCAAAGCTGCACCAGATTATGCATGCTCCAGTTTTAGTAAATAACCCTCATATATGTGCTTTTGTCAGATAAAAATTAACAAGGTTAAAGTGTTACTAAACCCACAACAGTAAAATCAGTCTCTATATGCAGTAAAACATGCTTGTTATACTCACTGTGGAAGGGGTTAATTCTCAACGTTGTGTTAAAAAAAAGCTGTTTGATCCTGTTTTCTCTGATCATCCCCTTCTTCTACTGTTCTCAATCCATCTACTGATACTACAGAGCTCTAGGAGTCATTCTGCACATGCTCAGTTTAGTGTGTATAGCTAGAGAGCTTTTTTTTCTTTGAAAGGGAGCATGTGATCAGCACAGGGCCAATCAGCACTGTCCAGACAGAGGGCCAGGAGTTATGCAGCCTCATAGGACAGTCAGACGAGAATGAAAATTCCTTTTACAAGCTTTAACCAGTGCTCAGCTGGGCACTGATAGAAATCACAAGACTGCTCTAACTGCTGATGAGAAAAGGTATTTAGCAGTTTATATTTACTAAAATAATTGCATTTTCATGTTGTGTGTACTGTACAGGGTCAGGGGTTTAGTGACACTTTTTAATGGTGTTTTAATAGGCCTATAGCTAAAAATTGACCAGTGTTTTTCTGGTAGTACAGGACTTTGAGCCCTGGTTCACATCGTGCAGGCTGGTTGCAGGCTACTCCCGCACCTGCAGCCAAATCGCGCTGCTCTCATGAGATGTGTGGGACAGTTATTCATTCTGAAAGGCACCCCCACGCATCTCAGCCCACAGTGCGTTAGTCGGAACCTCAAGGAAAACGCATGGTAAAAAGATTATGCGATTTCCCTGCAGTCGCGTTTTTGAAAAGGTGCATGCGCCTTTTCTTTTACGGAAAACGCAGGCATGACAGCCCATTCAAATGAAAGTGCAGCCTTGCCCGTGCAAACTTGAGCTGCACAGCCCACATAACTGTGAACCAGTGCTAAAGAGACAAAAAAAGTGTGGAACTTCAATTGGGCTCCAAACTGGTAGCAAACATTATTTAAATAATCAGCAAAAGGAAATATATCTACTATATCATAGGAAATAAAGGTAAAGGTTGATTTACTGTATGTGTTAGTGTCGTTATTTTGTGATACAGTACAATCTGAAAAAATGCTAACCAGTTCATACACAAGAATACACTTTATTGCATTTAGCCTCGCACAGCATCAATATTGTTTTACAGTTCAGCTAAATTCCATCATCTTCCAGATGCAATTAAACACCATACAATCATACCTGCTGTGCTGTTTTGATGGCAAAAAACTGATGTTGTCCTTCAGCACCACAAACATATCCAAAAGCCCGATTGTCTGTCACATCTCGGGCAATGAAGGAAATCTTGTTAACTGGGTGTTCATGCTCGATTACCTATAATGAGATTATAAACAAACATGGCTAATTATTTTTCTTGCAACTTGTACAACCGGTTTGTTAGGTGAATGGCACAAGTCAAAACATAAAGCTGAAAGTGGTACTAAAATCGTACAATGATAATGTTCCAGGCAACAATGAACAATTCGGGATATCTGCCCAGTACAGAGCAGTAAGGAAGCAAGCAACAACCCTGTCTAAGTTATTGGAGTAAACCTGTGCCGAGGCTACACTTTCTGACCAAGCATTAAAAGCACTTTACAACAAGTCCTCATTCACCTCTGAAACTACAAGCATTGTTAAGAAATGTATCATCCACATTCACAGAAGCACTGAAATCACAGCTCATCCCCTCTTATTTTCCATATCAGCAGTGACTTGGCAGCGTGCCAGCCTTCTAAAGTTAACACACAGCAGGTACTGTAAGCTTTTAGAAACCAAATGAAACCTGACTCCATTGTCTCTATTGTGATTTTTGAGGATGAATTACTTCTCACTACATACAGCTACGGAAGCCACTGATGGCTTGTTTGAAGGGCACTTTCACACTAAGCCATAGCAACTTTACTGTGTTTGCGGTTCATTTTTTACAGGACATATGACTCCAAAACTACATCAAAAACGCTACACAGGTGCATTTTGCATGCGTTCTTGCTGATTTTTTGCCGCGTTTTCAATGCATTTCAATGGGGTGGCGTGTTTTTGTTTCGTTTTCTGACCAAATGTGCCCCAAAAATGTGGCAAGCGTGATTTTTTTACACCGCAACAGAAGCGCAAGAACCAGTGTGAAGAAATACATAGACATACATAAACATACATGGGGAAGCATTTTTCTTCAGATCTTCTTGCATTTTTTTAACACAAAAGCACCTTAAAAACTCCTCAGTGTAAAAGCAGCCTTAAGCTCTTTTACTGCTTGGTAAACTCCCGGAGAACACCCACCTTTAGCAGGTTTGTCTAGGGTTACTTTCCCACTGATTCGCTGCAAAAACGTTCTCTGAGCATTTTTTTAGAGGACACATCACTTAAAAACTGACCCAGAAATGCTTCTCAGAGGCGGTTTTTAGGAATTTTTAAGGCGTTTTCCATTGATTTCAATGGGAAGAGGCTTTTTCGGCTATTTTTTTAACTGCACAAGCAGGCGTTTTTACACCGCCAGGAAAGCACAACACCCCAGTGTAAAAACATACATTGTCATACATAGGGAAGCATTTTTCTTGAGCATTTTGGGTACTTTTTTTAATGCAAAAGCGCTTGAAAAAACTCCGCAGTGTGCAAGTAGCCATAGTCTTGTAATCCTGCAAGGGGTCTTGAACCTTCTGACACTTTTCACATGGAATGGTGGAAATCATCCACAATATTCACAAAGGGAAGGGAAAGCCACTTGCTGTTTAAAAGATTCTATACCCTAGAAAGCTCTGTATGGCGTGAATGGGGTGTTTGTTCCCAAGTGGAACAATCTGTATACTGGAGAGCTCAAATTTGTAGACAGCTTTTAAACACAGAGCAGTTTCCCCTATTCCTCTATTTAAGAGTATTGTGGGTACATTCCTTGGAGCTGCCAATGACTGCCAGGAGCCAGCAGTCTGAGTCGGAGGATTTATGAGCAGGTGTGCCTGTAGTAGAACATTATTTAATGCATTATACTATGGTCAGAAACCATGTTCCATGAGGCAGGTTCCCTTTGCACCATACAGAACAATGCAAATTATTCCAGAGGGTTCTATCCACACAACAGTTTCAGGCTCTGCCCTAGAAGTAACACCATGGACCAGAGGGAAGCTGCACCCCAAACTGTCTACAGGAAGCCTCCTGGTACTGTGCCACTACTCAGTCCCCTATGGTGCTAAAAATCTTCTACTCTCCACAAGTATAGGCCATATTGTCCCAGTAGAATCACGAAAAGCATTCACATGTCCAAAAATACGCTAATGCTACAAAACATTTGTTGAATATTTAAACAAAAATATCTGTCTTCGCTGAGGGGGCATGTCCAGAAAAAGAAGGTCGCAGTACTCACATAGCGTAGTTCAAAATAAATAAAGAGACCAAAGTTGCATTTTGGCTGCTTCCCAACCTTGGGGGCCTCATTCTTAATGCTTTTCTCTCTATGCGAAAGCATGCTGACCCATAGCTCTTTCCTGGCCTTCTGTTGTCCTCTCCATACCACCCTACTGAACTACTCTCCATACCACCCTAGTGAACTACTCTCTATACCACCCTACTGAACTACTCTCCATACCACCCTACTGAACTACTCTCCATACCACCCTACTGAACTACTCTCCATACCACCCTACTGAACTACTCTCCATACCACTCTACTGAACTACTCTCCATACCACCCTACGGAACTACTCTCCATACCACTCTACGGAACTACTCTCCATACCACCCTACGGAACTACTCTCCATACCACCCTACTGAACTACTCTCCATACCACCCTACGGAACTACTCTCCATACCACTCTACTGAACTACTCTCCATACCACCCTACGGAACTACTCTCTATACCACCCTACTGAACTACTCTCCATACCACCCTACTGAACTACTACTCTCCATACCACTCTACTGAACTACTCTCCATACCACCCTACAGAACTACTCTCCATACCACTCTACGGAACTACTCTCCATACCACCCTACTGAACTAGTCTCCATACTACCCTACTGAACTACTCTCCATACCACTCCACTGAACTACTCTCCATACCACCCTACTGAATTACTCTCCATACCACCCTACTGAACTACTCTCCATACCACCCTACTGAACTACTCTCCATACCACTCTACTGAACTACTCTCCATACCACTCTACGGAACTACTCTCCATACCACTCTACTGAACTACTCTCCATACCACTCTACTGAACTACTCTCCATACCACTCTACTGAACTACTCTCCATACCATGAGGGGTCCAGCCCACAGGCCACGTAAAGGAACACCTACACACCATTTCACATTGCCTGGGCACAGGTACATTTTTAAGAAAATGTTTCACCTGCTATTGTTTGACCTCAAGCTCTGTAGAGATGTTATTCAGACACAGGAGACAAACTATATCACTGCCTGGAATGCACCTTTAGGGTCCATGCACACTAGCAGCAAAAAACATGCCGAAAAAGCAGCATAAAAGTGCTCATAGTAGCTCATTTTGCACAAGAGTATAGGTGAATTTATGGGTATTTGCTTTTATATGCGTTTTTTTTCCAAAACATTCCCCCAGTGTACACTTGAAAATGCAGAACGCTCTTAAAAGCTGCGTTTATGCACGTTTAGCGATTTTTCTGCCTGAAAACCTCTCTTCAAAAACACACTTGTGATAGGTTTGTATTTTCTTCCTCTAAACTCTCCTGAAATGAGCCTCTAAACGCCCTAATGTGCATGGACACATAGGATAACAAAGAGTTGCTTCTACAAGCAGGAGAAAAAAAAAGCAAAACTCCTGTAGAAGCAGCGTTTTTTTTTTTAAGTGTTACTTAACCCACAACAGTAAAATCAGTCTGTGTAAGCAGTAAAGTATGCTTGTTATACTCACTGCAGAACCTCAGGCATTATTAATCTTCTGCATTGTGTAAAAAAGGCTGTTTGATCCTGTCTTTTCTGATCCTCCCCTTCTTCTACTGTCCTCAATCCATTGGCTGATAGTACAGAGCTCTAGGAGTCATTCTTCACATGCTCAGTTTAGTGTGTATGGCTAGAGAGCTTTTTATTCTTTGAAAGGGTGTATGTGTTCAGCACAGCTCCCCTTCTTCTACTGTCCCCAATCCATCTGCTGATCGAACAGAGCCTTGGGGGCAAGCAGCACATACTCCATTTGGTGTGTATTGCTAGAAACTTTTTTTTGTCTTAGGAGAGTGCATACGATCAGCACAAGGCCAATCAGCTCTGTCCAGACAGAGGGTCAGGGGTTATGCAGCCTCACAGGACAATCAGGGGAGAATGAAAACACCTCCTACACGCTTTAACCAGTGTTCTGCTGGACACTGATATAAGTCACAAGACTGCTATATACTGCTGATGAGAAAAGGTATTTAGCAGTTTATATTTACTAACATAATTGCATTTCCATGTTTTGTGTATGGTGGGAGACCAGATATAGTGAATGCAGAGTCCGGGGTTTAGTAACACTTTAAGCCCAGTGTGCATGGACCCTCAATTTCCATGGTTTAAATAGTTTTTAAAGGAAAACTGTTCTTGCAGCTGCCATTGATAGTATTAAAGTTTGTCCCTGTCACTGCCACTTTTCCTGGCCAGCTTGGCCAGCAGATAAATATAAAAGAAAAATAGGAAATAAATATTACTTGAAATACCAAGAGTAATTAATGCAATGAATACCATCATTACATGTATTAAATGCATGCAGTTATCAAAACACAACAGCAGACCTTTAGGACTTTAATAAAACATGTCTCCCGATCATGAATATAAATGAAACAATTTTTTTTTTTCATATGACATTAAAGCTGTGAATGACGCGTAGAATAAAACTATGCTGGGATGAGGAATCGGTTACAGTGCGGGTTATTCCATCCGTCTTGCCTGTCATATCAGCTCTGCTTATTGAAAACATCATTTTCTCGGAACGCTCATCAATAAATAAAGCAGCCGGTTACACCATGTGCAATATACACTACGAGGGACCTTCATATGACCTTTATCAATGACTCTTGCTTTGCTTGCATGACTGACTGATGTGAGCCGTAAATAGCAGACAACACTAATAAATATGGAACTACGTGGTCCACATTTTCTGCAACAAAGATTTTAATGTTGCTTATTATGTTCTAGGTTGACAAAAAAAAAAAGACTGCATTAAAATCTGTTTACATCAATCAAATTACACAGTGTTTGCCGTTAGGGCGACGTAGTGCACCCCATACCATCCTGCAATACGGAGATGGGGATTGGGAGTTGTGCAGGATCTGCTACAAATATTCCTTCTTCCGCCTCCATCATACCTTTCACACCAGGGGAAAGGTCA